GTATTAGATAAAAGATTTTATTAATTAATATTCCTTATATTTTATAATTACTTATTATATAATAAAAGTAATTTTTAAATATTAATACTTTTAAATACTTTATAAAAGTATTTTTAATTATAATATAATTATAATTAAAATAAAGTTTTTAATAACTATTAATAAATTATTAAATTTAGAGATTAGAAGAAAGAAAGTTATTAAAGAGGTAATTTCTATTTTATAAAAAGAGTTATTAAATAAGTATTAATATTTTTAAATTTTATATAAGTAGTCACTAAGTACTATAAAGTACTTTTATATTTATTTAAATTTAATAACTTTAGATAAGTTAACTCCTTTATATAGGTATTTATAAACTATTTAAAAATCTATTTTATTTAATTAATAAAGTTTATAAATCTATTTTAATAAATCCTTCCCTTTTTTACTTTAAAATAAAAATAATATTTTAAAGATTATATTTTTAAATAAATAAAATAAATAGTTTATACGAATATTAGTTTTTTAGTATAGTATATAATATAAATTTTATAATACTTTATAATATTTAAAAATATATAATTTAAAAAAGTTAATTAGCTTTAATATTAATAGTTTTTAGGATTTATAGTTTATTAAAATTATAATTTTAATATTTTAAATTTAATAAAACTAATATTATAAAGTTAATAGAATTTTAAATAGTTTTCTTTTAAATAAAATATTATATCTAAATATTTATAAACTTTTTTAAAAGTATAAAACTAAATAAAGAATAAATTCTTAATTATATAAGTAAGGTTATAAAAGAGTAATATTAATATAATATTTACTTATATTAAACTTAATTATAAAGAATAACTATTAATTAAAAGTTTTTATAACTAAAAGCTTAATAATAATATCTTTAATTTTATATTATTATTTTTATACTTTTTAAAAGTATAATAATTTAACCTTAGAGTTATTAATATAATTTATAAAAGTATTAACTTACTTAAAATAATTATTTACTAAATTATAAAGGTATTTAATAATATTAATAAAGTTATAAACTTTAATTATAATTATTAATATAAAATAGTTATAAATAGTAATAACTTTTACTAAATTAGTAATAATACTATTTTTAAAATAAAAAAGTTAAAAACTCTTTACTTAATAAATAAATTAGTTTTAAATATATTTAAAATAAAGTTATAAACTATTAATTAAATAAATATAATTAATATATATTTATAAAGTTATTTTATAATATTTACTTAAATAATAATATTATTTGTTAAGCTATATATAAACTTATAAAGTTTATAAAGGACTTTTAATAAACTTTTAAAATATAGTTAAAATATTATAAAGATTAAATAATATTACTAATTACTTATATAAACTAAATAATATAATAAAAGTAATCTTTTTATTATTTTAAAGTTTAGCTAAATATATTAAAAGCTATTTTTAAGTTTATAAAGGTATATTATTTATAGTTTATTACTTATTAGATTTAATTTATAATATTAAATATAGAATATATATATTTCTTAATATAATTATTTAATTAATAATAATTATAATAGAAATATTAAATAATTTATTTAAGTTAGGTTTCTTTTATATATAGCTATAAGCTTTTAAGTATAAAGTAAAAGAATAAAGATTAGGAATTCTTACTTTTATAAATAAATATACCTTTATAGGTTTTAATAAAATTATATATAACTTATTTTTATAAAGAATTAAATTATTTAAAAAAAAGTAAAAGAGTTTATAATTACTTATATTAATATAATAAATAGTTTTTAATAAAATATTTATATAATATTACTTTTATTAAATAAATTAAAAACTTTAGGTATACTTTTAATATAGATAGTAACTTAAAAGTTATTTATAAAAATATTTAAATATTACTTTAAGGGTAAAAGAAGGGTCTTAATATTTAAAATGTAGTTTTATAATTAAAAGCTTTAACTTATATATTTTAAAAATATTAATTTAAATTAATTAAAAAATAAATAAATAAAAGGTTTTATTTTATATATAATATATTATTTATTAATAAAAATTATTCTTTTAAAAATAAGTTTACTTAAAATATATTATTAAAGATTACTTTATAAAAATTATAAAATCTTTTAAAAGTTTATTAATTATAATAAATTTTATAATAATAAAAATATTTTTATAATTAAAAGGTTAATACTATTAATATTATTTATTTATATAGGGTTTATAAAAGGGTATAACTTAAATTATATTATTAAAGATTTAAAGTAATAATAAGTTTAAGAGCTATAATTAAAAAAGTATAAAAGTTATAGCTATTAATAAGTTAAGTATAAAAAAGTTATAAAATACTTTTATACTTTTATAAGGTAGTTTATTATAAAAAAATAAGGAATTACTAACACTTATTTTTATATAAAAGGTACTTTAATAGCCTTAATTCTTTAAATAAATATTATTAAAGATTCCTTTTAAAAGATTTTTAACTTTATTATTATTTTTATATAGGAAATAAAGTTATAATATTCCTCTTTTTATTTAGGGTTATCTTTAATAAAATAAACTTAAATATATTTTTAAAAATTTACTTTAAGGTAACTTTAACTAATTATTTTATTATATTAGTTTATAATTATATTATATAATTAATTAGATAAATTAAATTATTTATTATTATAAAGAACTCCTTTAAAAGTAATATTTTAATTAATTAATAAATTATAGATATTTTTAGGAAAGTAGGTTTAACTTTATAATTTTTACCTAATAATTTTATTTATTATAATTAAAATAAGTATTATTTTTTTAAATTATAATAATATAAAGTTTAATATCTATTATTAATATATTATAAGTTAGGTTTTTAAAGGTAAAGTAAATAGTTTATTTATTAGTTTATAAGTTAAAGATTATTAATTATATTAAAGTAATATTAATTAATTTAAGTTATATAATTTTTAATTTCTTAATAGTACTTTAGTTAACTTTTATATAATAAAAGGGTTATTATATTATAAAGTTAAATTATTATTTTAAAAGTTATAAAGATTTTTATTTAATTATTTTATTAATATAAACTTTAATATATTTAATAAGTTCTTTTATAATTATTATAGTTATTAAGTAAGGTAATTTATTAATAATTTTAATATAAATATTTAATTAATTAATAGAAAGTTTTTAAATAGAATAATATAAATTATTATAAATTATTATTATAAAAGTAAAAGTTTAAAAAGTATTTTAAAGATATTAAATAAAATTAATATATAATTTATTTTTATAGAGTAGGAGGGTTAAAAAAATATAATTTAAAAGTAAAAGTATTATATTAACTTAAAATTTATATAATTATTTTTATAAAAATAAATTAATTTAGTTTATTAGTAAATATTTATTTAATAAGATTATTAAAATTATTTAATAGTTTTATAAGGACTTTATTTAATTATAATTTATAAAGGATTATAAAAGTATAAAGTTAAACTTATATTTTTTAAATTTATTAAAGATAGAAGTATTTATAATATTAAGTTAAAGGTTTTTAAAAGGAAACTTTTTTATATTAAAAGACTTTAAGAAAGTTAAATTTATTAAGTAGGATTATTATAGGAAAGACTTTTTATAAATGGACCTTTATTAATATAATAGATCCTTATAAAGAGTTATATAATTAATATTAAAGGTTAATTATACTATTCTTATATTAACTTTAAGGGTTTAAAGTTATTAAAATCTACTATTAAAAGGTATAAATTAATTAGAATAATAATTTTATTTATTTTATTTAATATAATAAAGGATTATATTTTATTAAGGTATATAATAATTAAGTTAAGTTTTTAATTAATATAATTATTTTAAATAGTATAAACTATTTTAATAGCCTTAAGTTTAATATTATATTTTTATTTAATCTTTTAAGTTATTAGTTATAATTTTTATTAAGTTATAAGAGATAAGTATTTAGAGTATTAAAGGAGTTTATAAGCAATATATTAGTTAGTAAGCTTTTTAGAGTACTTTTTAATTATAAATTTATTAATATAATACTTATAATTAATAGATATTCTTTAAGGAGAGAGTTTTTTATAAATTAGCTTTACTAAATATTATAAGGTATTAAATAGGAAAAATTAACTAAAAGTAGAAATTAATATAAAATAGTAGAATTAATATTTATTAATATATTTTTAATTTAATTATAGGTTAATTATATTAATAATAATAATATAAAAGAAAAGTATAATACTTATTATTAAGATTTTTAATTAGTTTAAGGATTATTTATTTATAAGTAATAATTATTAATAAATAAATATTATTACTATTTAATTTAATAAATAGAGTTTTTTTATAATTATTATTATTATTAAAGGTAATTTAGCTTTATATAGTTAAAGTATAAGTATTTATTTTAAGTTAGATAGTAATTAAGTTAATAATTACTTAAAAGTATATTTAATAGTGCTAGGGTTAATTATAATTATTTTTATTAAGTATAAAAGTAAAATAAGGTTTTTTTAATAAAAATAATTATTTTTATATATTTTACTCTATATTTATATATTAAAATATTAGAATTTATAAGGAATTTAATATTTAAAGGTATAGGTAGTTAGGTTGTTAATTAGAAGAATTAGCTATTAAAGGGTACCTATAGAAGCGTGGTTTTGGCTGCCTGTAGGGCTTGCTTACGTAACTAACTACGGATCTATAGAGGCATCTGCCAACCCGAACCAGGAACGAAAAGAAAAGCCCGGGAGGTTCCATGGTGCATGAGAATACAGAAGCTTCGCAATTGGCTGGGCCACTAATGCCAGTGATCTGTGCCTGGAGAAGACCCTATAAACGGCATTGGGCGGGCGGTGCACAGGGACAGGGCCTTCCTTGGGTTACAGCAATCGCCACGTGTGGAAACAGCCCCGCCCTCGAGCCGCGAATAGGGTCGCAACGAATTCGTCAGCTATCAGAGAACAAAAGTATGACATATTGAGAAGAAAAGACATACTTCACGCAGTGACCAGAAAGGGGGGCCATTGATCTGTGGCAGGAACATTTATGACCAACTTGAAGCAGTCTTTTCTGATCGACCGGCTTTTTGTGCACAGGTGTATCCGATCTTTCTTTACATTGTATTATTGACCACACTCTTTTGTCGAAGCCTCTATCCCGTCATCATGCGTAGTGCTTCCGCAGTCACTTTCGCAGCATTTGCTGCGCGTGCTCTCGCTGCTTCCCACACCCTTTTTGCTGGTTTCTTTACTGGCACCAATCTGGTGCGACTCGAGTTTGACGACTCTACCAACGCGTTGACCCTCGTCGAGAATATCACGGCTCCGGGCACAAGCAGCCAGAAATGGATCGCCCTCGACGTATGATCAGCCATCCGCTCTCCTAGACACAGAACCCTCTTGCTAATGTTCGCATTTAGTCACGGAAGAAGAACCTCTATGTGGCCACCACTGGCTACTTACAGAGTTACACAATCGAAGATGATCTAAGTCTCACTTACACGAGCAATGTCTCCCTGTCCTCCAACTGTACCAATGCCAACTACATATCGGTGTCCAGCGTGTCCCCGTATACCGTCTTTGGTGTCCCGTTCAGTACGGGGTGTTCCAGTCTGGCCATTTCTGTTGACGACTCCGGCGCCCTGAAAAGCCTGATGGCCACCGTAGATTACGATCCTGGCTCCGGCGCCCACGGTAGTGACATCAGCCCGGATGGCGACTTCTTCTATTCTGCTGATTACACGGGCAGCGGCGTGTGGACTCACGCCGTTGATGAGACGGCCGGTACGGTCGAAGAGATCCAGCATCTGTACACTGAGGACGGCAGTGAACCCAGGCATATGACTATCCACCCTAATGGGAAATGGGTTTATGTTGTGTATGAGGGACCTAGCTCGATTGCTGTGTACAGCCGGGACAACAGCACTGGGATGTTGTCCTTCACCAACACCACTTATTCACTGCTGCCTGATGGTAAGATATTCTTCAGCGTTGACCGAGTGTTTGTTTCACTAACCAAGTGGACAGGATTTACCAACGCCTCTTCCTACTGGGCCGATGAGGTACTTGTCTCGACCAAGGACTCCACCTCGCCCAAGTACCTCTACGCCGCCACCCGGTCGCGAACGAAAGACATCCCCGGCTACGTCTCCGCCTTCTCGCTGGATGCCGACACGGGCGCCATCACGGAGCAGCTCTTCCTCCTGCCAACAACCAACAGTGGCGGCCCCTCGAACTCTGTCGGGCCCGCAGGGTTCAGCGAGGAGTACTTTGTAATCCCCGACGCAGCGGCCAACTTCCTCGAGGTCTGGAAGATGGCGGATGATGCGTCCAGCGCGGCTGCGGTTGCCCACTTGGATTTACAGAGCGGTCCTGCCAATGCTGTTTGGTACAGCTAAACGGCCATGCTGACAAGGGCTTCCGAAACGCAGGCACGGGTCCACACGTGTCAACTGAGGCCGTGATGAAAATAGTGCAATACACTCGTGATTTCTGTCACATAAGCTTCTTGGTATCCACAGTTGAGCTAGTCTTGACCCTTTCATGGTTGGTGTCGTAATTGATCTATGGTGAGATATGTTGCTGTAATCATTTTATGGCACATCGGAATCACGCATAGCCCTGGCCCGACTCCAGGGCTGGCACAGTCAGTTGTTAGAAACAGGTAAGATCGAGGCTTGCAGGCCAGTGTGGCGGATACGGGAGTAGGTACCTAGGTAGTACTCCAAAGTGATGATTTGATTGCCTTTGATCAATTGATAGGAAGTTGACAGATACTGCGATGGACATAGCATGGAAATGCTAATAAGTGGTTTCGTTTTTAATCCCCATACATATAAAATGTATGTAACGCCTTGATACAGTGGTGAACGCTCAACACCCAGTGCCTTTTGTTTAAAAAAAAAGATACAGTACCAATAACAGTGGAAAAAGAATACAGTGCGTGGGCACGTGGCTCAGCCTCGTGCCGCACAGACAAGGCTGGAAGGCATCACTCCCGACGGGGCCGCTCAGCTAATAGCCGACAAAGCAGTCATACGACGAGACTAGAAGAAATGCTAATAAGTATCTTTTCTTACCATACATTGGTCATCAGCGTTCCCTGGCAGGGTTGCCGTTCACTACACTTAGTGTAGTAAGTTAACTAATAGCCCTATACACACCCCTACTTATATATAAGCAGATTTTAAACACCTATTTAAGTACTATCTAACTTTAACCTTAAATTACTTAATAATTAAAGAAATTATTTAAAATTTAATAATAATATAATACTTTTTAGTCCTTAAACTTTAATATATAAACTTTATTTATCTTTATTTTTATTATTAAACCTATTTTTATTAATTATTAATAAATTTATTATTATATTTTATTTTATTACTATTCTCTCTTTTTAATTATTATAATATTAATAAATATTTTATTTAAATTTGGAATAACTTTTTTATACTTTTTAATTACTAATTTTAGGGTATTAATAAAAATATCTTTTTAGCTTTAATAATAATTATATATATAATTAATTTATTAAGGTTTTTATTAAACTTTTAAAAAAAGATAGACTATAAGTAATTTATAGATATTATTAAGTTTATATAAATTAACTTTAATTTTATATATTTAGTAAGATAAATAAAGAGTTATTATTGCTATTATAGTTAATTCTTTATTTAAAAATATACTTTTAGTGGTATAAATATATTAAACTTTTTATTATTAGCCTTTAAGTTATTATTAATTATTATTAATTTTAAATTAAGTGCTTTTAATAATTATATAGCTAGATTTCTATAATATACTATATTTTAATAATATATACCTTTATAAGAGCACTCTTTTAGGCCTTTTAATAAATATAAAAAGAACTCCTTAAAGAAGTCTTTTATATTATATATTTAAGTTAGTAAATTAAGGTTTTAATAATACCTTTACTTTAAATATAAAAATAACTTAATATTAAGTAGCTATAATATATATAATATATGTATTAGTAGAAAAATAAGTTAAATTTAATATAAAAGTACTCTTATAAAAGTTATTAGTTATATATAATTTATAATTATTAAGGATTAATACCTACTATTACTTTTTATTTATTAGCTTTATAAATGGGTTAAATATACTCTTTAGTTATTATAAATTAAGTTTATTATTAGTTTAGTCTATATTTAAATAGGTAAATTATTAGTCTTTAAATTAATTAAGTTATTAGTAAAGAAATTATTATTATTAAATTAACTTTTATAAAATATAATAAGTAATAGTAGAAGCTTTTATTATTATTAATATATTTAAGTCTTATAGATTATATATAGATTTAAGAGTGTTTTTAATTATTAAGTTTTATAAAATAATTTAAATACTTTACTATTATTTTTATTACTCTTTTAAAAATTAATCTTATTAGTATAGTATTAATACCTTTATAGGACTCCTAAATATTTAAAATGTTAAGTTAATTAAAGAATTTATTAAAATTTTTAAATATAGTATAATTAATATAATAATAATTAATTTATATAGCTTTAAATATTTTTAGAAAGGGATTTTTAAGTAAAAATAATCTATTTAATATATTTTAATGGGTATAGGTTTATTAATTAATGGATTGTTTTTATAAATAATTTAATTTATAAAGTATTAAAAAAGAATATAAGTAGGGAAATGGATAAAGTAGCTCTATATAAGGGTTTAATTAGTTAAAAAACCCTTTTATATTAATAATAGTTTTTACTAACTTAAATTAACATCTTTATAGGTTAATATTCCTATAAGGTAATAGTATAATTATTATTAGTTGGTATAATATTAATTATATGCTAATTTTTAACTTGATTTATTAAAATAGTTATTTATAGTGTAAAGGATTTTTTTTATAAAGCTATTTGCTATACTATTATATAAAGGAGAAGAAAATAAATTAAATAATAAAATCTATTTATATATATAATTTTTATAGCCCTTATAAAGTGGGTATATATTTAAGTAATGTTAATTAGAATGGTGATAATTTAGGTTGTATATGAGTGGGGGTGTGCGTGGGGCTATTAGTTAATTTAGTGTAGTGTAGTAGGTGTAAATAAGCCCACTACACTCTATTACACTAAGGGTATTTTCAAGTCCACTACATTACACCAAGTAGCCCAGTGCGTGTAATGTAGTGGGTTTAAGTGTAAATAGGGGGGGGGTAAGGGGGAGGAGGGTGATAGAGGGAGAGGGAGGGCGGAAAAGGGAGAGGAAAGCTAACTAAGCCGCTAGATAAGATAAGACAAGATAAGATAAGATAAGATAAGATAAGATAAGATAAGATAAGAGGAGGAGGAGGAAAAAGACTACTTATTTAACTACTTATTTAACTACTTATTTAACTACTTATTTAACTCCTTATTTAACTACTTATTTAACTACTTATTTAACTATTTCTTTATTCTATTTATTTATTTTACTTATTTATTCTATTTATTTATTTTATTTATTTATTTTACTTATTTATTTATTCTTTTATTACTTTTATTTCTTTTATTACTTTTATTTTTATTACTTTTATTTTTATTACTTTTATTATTTATTCTACTATTTATTCTACTATTTATTCTATTATTTATTTTACTATTTATTTTACTATTTATTTTACTTATTTATTTTATTTATTTATTCTTTTCTTACTTTTATTTCTTTTATTACTTTTATTTTTATTACTTTTATTATTTATTCTACTATTTATTCTACTATTTATTCTACTATTTATTCTACTATTTATTCTACTATTTATTCTACTATTTATTCTATTATTTATTCTATTATTTATTTTATTATTTATTCTATTATTTATTCTACTATTTATTCTATTATTTATTCTATTATTTATTCTATTATTTATTCTACTATTTATTCTACTATTTATTCTTCTACTACCCCCTAACCTACCCCCCCTTAACCTACCCCCCCTATATTTTAACCCACTACACTATACACACTTACACTAAAGGCCTATATATTACACTACATTTACACTAAGGGTATTTTAAAGTATACTACACTACACTAACAAGCCCAATACGTATAGTGTAGTGAGCGGCAACCCTATTCCCTGGCCATCCATATGAGATTTGTAAGCAGTGAAATTTGATTCCGCCGTCAAGAGCAGTATTCCCGAGCATTGTCTATGAGCCACGAGGCTGAAGCCACGTTCTTGCACTGTTATTGACAATATATTTTGTCCCCCTCAAATTCTAGGTCTTTGATCGTTTACCATTGTGTGAAGGGACCGTACCCTCTTGGGATGTATACGTATTAAGAAAAAGACCACTCATGTGACGGGCTGTTTAAATATAGTCGTTGCAAGCTGAAGTTCGTGTGAAGTTTTCCGAACGGGCATGTTAACTCGGAACCTAGAACCACGACCTCGGAACGATTTGACATCACACTGGTGGCAGACAGTCAGCCATCCACTCGCAGATTGACTACCAGTAAGTCCCACTACTTATAACAAAAGAGCACAGGAAATAACTATAGAGAATTTAATTATATTCAGGTGATTATATGCATTCTAAGGCAGATTTAGAGGCAACTCCCCAAGATGGTATTCCTAGGGTATTTGCGGCGGAGAACGGTACCATGCCCTTTTTTAATCGACAACCGCGACGCTCAGACTTGCACCCCTCAGAGGTATTCAATGCAGACAGCGTCGCTCTTGATGTCCATCACTTCGCGAATAGTAATGTTGGGAACAACCCCAGTCATCCACATAACGTGGTCCAGGGTAGTCTCGTCGCCACCGTCCTCAAAGTAAGGAGAGAAAGCCGACACGGGGAGACTCTTTGGCTGTGCTGAGGCCAGGAAGTTGCTCTTAGCGACATTGTCGCCGCCCATGTCTGTGAGACGAGCGTCGTCCTTGCTCTGCCACTCCCACCAGATACGGTCCAGGTTCGTGTGGTGCATGAAGAACAGAGGGTCTGCCGGAGAGAGGGACACGTCGTCCATCTACAAGATCACGGTGTCAGTCCAAAATAGAATGAAGGGTACAACACAACCTCTGATTAACTTACAGTTCCTCCAATGGCGAAGTGTCCTGACGTGTGGGGGGAGCCACCGATGCAGGTGTTAAACTCCTTATAGGTCCCAAGAGCATTGCAAGTGTCGACAATGGTCTGTGCAATAAGCTCGAACTGGGCCTGTTTCAAATCGTATGCCAGACACTGTGTGCCGACCCTTTCAAGCTGCGGGTTGATGTCGTAGGTAAGATTGGTAAAAGGTCCATCGACAACGCAGCCGTTGGCGTCGGTGGCGCCACTGCCGAATGAGGTAGTAGGGTCGGTTCCCCAAATGCTGGCCTCTGTCAGAGGTCCTGCCACTTGATCCACCTGCTCATTCCAGTAACTATCACATTGTCAACGTCTTCCTCAAAGCCTGAAAGTGCTTGGGCGCGGTTGGAGGTTGTACTCACGGGATCGGTCCGGTATAGCCGCAGTGGTCGCGGAGGAGATTCTCATGGACCGTCATGAACCAGCGATGCCATGGAAGAAACGCACCCTGGACGGAAACGAAGTGTTGTGTCAGTAGTGCAAGTCTTACTTCAAAAAGGATACGGTAGGCCAAAGGGAACCTACCACGCCATGAATGAACTGGACCTGAGCCACATGAGCGATCTGCAGATCTTCCCAGATAGTCTTGGATCCAGAGTATTTGGAAATCGAAGGTGACCGGACAGGATCCATCAGGCAGAGTTCCGATTCAAGGTAGCTCGATTTCTCGGCATCTGTCAACGCCGTCCTGAACGCATGTGTCAGTACGTGGCTTGCTGAGAAACTTGATAGTACTTCTGGAAAACTCGACATACCATGCCTTGCGCTGGGTCGGGTTCGTGCAAGCCGCAGAGACGGCTTGGGTCATACCCAACAGGGCAGCGGAGATGATGGCAAAGTTGTACATCTTGAATGAGCGCACAAGAGGGGGCAGACAATGGCGAATTCTCAGTGGAAACTAGGTAAAGAGCGTAGTAGAGAGCGTGCTGGTATCGAATAAGACTTTTCTGTAGTCCATGAGGAAGACGTGAGCCTTTATACAAAAATCAGGAAGCATCACAAGAGTGACTTGGAGCCGCATTGTTCATGAGCGACTCATCCTTTCGGCAGTCATCCCGCCGACCATGCAGTCATCCCCAGTCGGGCCCCATCCACATGCTTCGAACTATACCAAGACGATAAAAATGGCTGCAGAAGGCGCACTATGGAGACGGCCCTTGCCGGCAACGTCGGGGTACTAGCATCAGGGGCACCGCATTCAGGAAGCCTGTGCTTCAATGATATATTTCAAAAGGGGAAACAGCACCGAAAGAAGTGGCCCCTGAAGGCCGAGTCGAAATACACACACACACACACACACACACACAGAGAGAGACAGAGAGAGACCAAAAAGAGAGATAGCTAGCTGTAAAGATTCGGGCCATACGGCATGTTGAGCGAGTCTTGGAGTGTCTTAGTATATTCTTGGCTGACCGCAGGGGTGAGATTCGAGACTCCTCAATGGTGAGCCTGCGAAACCTAAGCGAGAGTACTAATGGACCTTGGGTCCAGGACTCGCAATGGGAGTATGTATAGGCACGTGACATTAAGAAGCGTATGGCCATAGTAGTAACTCGTCAAGAGCCTGCCTGTCATACTCTACTAGTATTTTGCCTCGGATGCACCGATCGTGCTTGTCCAGCCAAGCCTTCTTGGAACCCCCTGGCACTGGAGTCCAGGCCCACATCCGGAGCCCTAAACGACGTCCCGCCCCCCTTAACCTTACCTCCCAAGCCACAATACCTTCAGGTGAACGGTACCTACCTAGGTACCCACCTGGACATGTAGTTAATAATATGGGTACTAGAAATACGCGTAAAGCTAGCTCCGTGCGACGTCGTATTCCAGATTCTCCTTATAATGAAATCGAAGACGAGAGATCCACTGACACCCCCCTGCTGACAAACCTGCAGTCCCGATATCAACAAGCACGTTCCCCAAAGGCGGATCGCACGGCATTGCTTAACCTGACTTGGACTAACTTGCGTTCAGCGGCTGCGATCGAGAGTCATGTCATGCGATTCATAACGAGCTGCCTACTTAAGTAGACAGCCCGGCCTGTCAAAAGTTGGCCCCCATGAAGGTGCAGCATGCGGACCGCGCGGGACGAATACCCACTTAGGTAATTCGCGTATTCTTGTTCGGTCAACACCCAGGAACTGCCAACAGGGGCTGTTATCAACATCTGACCAATCACATATGCCTTGGCTCACAGTAGTGCTTCATGGGGACAAAAAGATAAATATGGACACTCTGAGAGGGGATGTTCGGTCCGCCAACGATAAACGCGTCGGAGTACGGGGGTGCTTTTTCTGTCTTGGGAAACTCCGTCGGGAAAATGCCGTAACACGCCTGTGTCTCCTTAGATAGGTGACTGGCGACGTTAGAGTGATCACGTCCTCTAATAAACGTAGAGTTTATTTCCAAGTAGCAGCCTCACCGTTCATTTCTCTTGGCATATAGTAACTCTTACCAAACGGAGGCTTCTGACTGATTATTACATGGGGTAACGTTGGACGAAGTCATGATGTACCATATCCACCTGGGCATCTCACATAGCGGGACGAGAGGACGGCGACTCGCGTCTCAAAGAGCCCATCAAGCGAAATGATAGCTCATAATGTGACCAAGGAGGCCATACAACAGAACATTCTCCTGACTCTTATCATATGCATGGAAGATTGGGCTGTGGGAGCGCACATCTTGAGATGCTCTTGGCGTCTTGTACTTCGTGCACTTAATGTAATTCGCCCAGAATTTATAAACCTGGGGACTGCCAACAACTAAATCAGGAAGATAGATATTAGACTAGATTTTTATTCATTACATTGAATGATGGCGCTCAGACGCCCTGCCCATGAAGGAGCTCAGAGCAACGCAAAGAAAAACAGGTCGCACATTCAATTGAGGCCGACGAAGACCACTGCATCCTCGTAGTCCTTGTCACAGTTGACAACTCCAAGGGTTTCCAGTCCAGCACTGCTCAGAAGACCCTCCCACTGGGTCTTTGTGCGTTCAATCCCACCGATGACAGTCTTGAATTAGAAATTTGATATCATGATTGCTGATACAAGCAGGACCTGTCAACTGGTGAGTGGCGTCATGCCAACACAGACAGGTTCAGGAGTTCCATGGCGAACGAAGAAATTCTAGGTCACATATCACTTGCAGCGCATATCATCAAGTCGATATCTACTAGTTAGCAGTATCCGTACCTGGGATCCAGGCCCAGGTGGGCTGTAGCGGCTCGCTCCGGTAAGACTATCTCGTCGACGAGGAGTACTGATTGGTCGGCCAAGCCTGCTTTGGGCGTTGAACAGGACCTCTTTGCATGTCCCGTCACCCCACGCATGCAAGATTTTCCATGTGTAGTAGGCAGGCTCTGCCTCGATTTTGGCAGAGGTGGGGAGCCGGGGCTCCACCTTGCACCACACCCCCTTGGCAACCTCCGTTCGATCTTGGAGTACTCCGTAGGGCCCGCCCAGGGAGGTCCCGAGGTCCGGATAACGCTGCCGGCGGCGCGAGATGCGAAGAGTGTTGAGCCGCCAATATCGACGATCAAGACGGTCGAGGAATATCAGGTTTTCCTCCCGGTGGATCCTCATGTGTGCTTGCGCAAACTTCAGTGTCCAGGGGGTTCTGGGCCAGACCATCTTCTTTGGACCCTCTCAGACTCTGGCTGGACGCCCAGCAAGCGGCAATCTCCAGGGCTTGGAATCCAACCCATTGGTGACCCGCCGGTACATGCCAGCTGTCGGCCACCCTCCGATCCCCACTTATCAAAGCCTATCAGGTTTCAGTAGATACTAATCTGGACGCTGAGATACTTTCGACGTTGGTGCAAGCGGAGGCGCGCTGCTTGAATGCCCTTCATCCAGGACATTATCTCATCCTCCGCTCGAGCGACCTCGGCTACTGCTACTGACTTCTCGGCAGCCAGCTACGAGAGCGGGCGCAGGGCGTTGCAGCTCGCCGGCGACGGCGACGGCGACGGCGACGAGGACGTTGCCTTGCTGCTGATATAGGAAGCTGGGGGCTATCGCAACTCCTTTTGCATCGACAATGCCGACGGGTGCGGGGCCATCAGCTGCGATCACGATTGTATAGCCCATCGAGGTTGCGGCCTGTGCGGTCGATATAACCTTGGAAGCGAGCGGCTGCTTCCGGCCGGCGCAGACCTTCCGGTACTACATGAGCTAGGAACCCCGGCCCTCGAGGCGGCTGCGGCTGAACGCCGACTAGTCAGTCGTTGTGTAGAGGCAGACGCTCAAGCTGACCACCATGGTCAATGCTCGAAGACCACTCCTGTGATAGTCGCAACCACGGACGGCCACGTAGAGTTGCGGGAGAGGCGTCAGTGGCATCGGTGAATCCACAGGAAGACTCGCGGCGGCTGCTTGGGGACAAGAGGATCCCGGGGCGCGCCTAAACAGGTAGTTTCCATCGGCGCTCTGGATGCTGTGGCGGCGAATGGCGACACACATGTCCTGCAAACACTCCTGGGCGCAGGTGCCGACAATGTCATTGGCGGAAAATATAATAGACCAGCACTTGATGATAGGATTACTCTCACTTGGAACGCCATCGCGGCTGCGGACTCAGGAGGCGGCGGGACATTTGGGGGCGATGTCAAAACTGCTGCAGGCCGCTTCTGATCAAGGCATATCGTCCTGTTTTGCTGTCACAGATGCGCTACAATTTGCGGTGAACAAGGGACACAAAGACCGGTGAGAACTCCTCCTACGCGAGCACACGGGAGCCCGGAGGGCAGTGCTAGAGGGCCAGCATGGTGCCCCTGTTGAAGGATTCCTATACACCAGGACATTTGAGCCTGAAGTGGAAGTCTTCGGTGTTCTGCGGCTGGCAAGCCCAACACGGTCACCAGGCCGCCGGAAACTTCAATGTTGGTTCTCGACAAAGGGGCCGAACCCGACAGGGAACACGGATATATACCGGTTTTATGCGAGGAGGGGACCATGGCGCTTAAATTAACTCTTTCCGGTAGACATTCCGCCTTGACGAAACAGCTCATAGATGCGGGTGCGACGTGAATTTTGGCCTGGTGGAGTTCTGACTCGCCTCTGCAGGCCGCTGTTTGGACCGGCGGAATGTATCTTGAAGTACCAGAGCCGCTCCTTGCAGCCGGTGCAGACGTGGGTGCTATCGTGGATGGTAGCGAAGGGCAAGATGATTCGGACCAGAAAGAAAGCCGCCTTGCCAGTCGCGGCAAAAGCGAGTCACCCCGACCTCGTGATACGAGCTCCCCCAGCGATGTCTCATGACTGTGCTCACCATGCCGTTCCTTGGCCACTCCTAGTAGAATGCAAAAGAGAGCCACCATGCCGATATCATGCGGGAGCTGCTTCAAAGTCACCTGATGTGAACATGAGGCGAGGCGAGGCGAGGACAAACGACAGAATCGAGGAGGGCACCTGAGCTCACCTTTCTGCTGATGGCCGCCGCGAACGGCGGCTCCGAGATAATTATTAGAAATGATGCGCTCAGCAGGTGTCGATGCAAACCTCAACCCAGGGGCTTCGGTGGCGGGTCTTATCTAACTCCAATACACACCCCATACACGTTACTACTCTACCGAGGAGTTTCGGCATGACTCCCCGAACGTACTCAAAGTCTCTTAGTCAGGCATTAGTGTTCAAAGATCATGATCTGCCAACCATCCTTTCGGAGTGTCCAAGGGTCGCCGTTCTTTCTTGTACCGCGGGGCTGGTGCATATCTTCCAAGGTTGTTATCAGGTCAAAGTACGTGGGCTCCCGGATACTCGTTGGAATCTCTAAACGTATAACATATGTGGTTTCGCTTCTATTCCGTATACGTCCGAGGACATACGGTGATAAAGTTAAGTCAAGCTACAAAATGCCACCAGGCATTCGCGGCCGTCTTCCGTGTACCCAAGTATATAAGCCCAGCAATTCAGGAAGACGACCTAGCATCCGGTTTGCCAGCTAACGTTGTGCTATTCCCATAGCATGTGTAGAGCCTCACAACCTTTGTCAGTAGCTCAGGACGTAGAAATAATACTGATCTCACCGCACCTCCCGTTCCCTCTTCTAACTTGGAGGCGTGACTTAAAAGCCCCCACAGCCTTAAACCCCTCGTCAGAGTGGCAAGATCTTGTTCGGTGTTTCCCCTGCGTCCCAGGGCTCCGACCACGCTTTCAGCATCCGAGAGCAAGACGGCAGGGATGTCTCATGCTCCTGGTCGCGCAAGCACTTCTTGGCTGCTTCCACGAATCCCACGCAAAGACCAGTCCTGGGCACTTTGTCGCAGTAGGCGACCCCAAAGGCCCCAGAGGCGTCTGAATTCTCGGTGTATCTAGCTTCGCCGGCACGACCTTGCGCGGCGAGCCCTAGAGAGTCGCTATCATCTGTCCGAGATGGTACGCCTGGTATTGTTTCAGCTGGCCATTGTCGTGACTGCCATAATCTGACCATTCACTGCATGGCCCGGGGCTCTTTGGCCGCGAAAATCCAAGATGCGTGACGGAGGCAACCAAGAAAGTTCGGTGTTGTTTGCGAGTATTCCCAATCGACAAGACCAGTGATATTGCCCTGCTCGTCGGCCATGACGTTTCAGCTATAAGTCGTCATCCTCCTCAATCAAGTCTCCAACGTAGGAATCGACCAAGTCAACAACGACTGGCTGCCAAACGTCCATTCTCAGTAGCACGTTGCCTGCCCAGGTGTCCTGCAGTCCGTCAGGACCAGACGCAAGACCGGTCGACCTTGTCCACCGTGTCCACCACATCCTGCGAGATACCAATCCACTGCAATTCAGGATGCAGATCGGAGTGCAACAGTCCTCAAAGTCAAAAATCGGTCTGCCCGAGATGTGTTCGGGCAGACATCCGCTCACCGTTGGAAATGGATTGGCCTGATCCTTCTCCTCCTGGATGTTCTCCAAGTGCTGATTGATCCCGTGCTTGACATTCTCCTGGACCTTTTTCTCCACACCCTCCTTCACCCCTAGCCTACTTGTCAGCTCTGACGCTGACATTGATATTTCATAAATGTGCCCTTCTCTAACCCACGGAAGGTGGCTAGGCCATCATGCGCAACACCGAACCAACACTCCGGTCGTACAATTTTAGAGCAGCTCTCCTGCTCGGTATTTCCGAGTCGTCAGTGTATGTTGCCTCGAACACAGGGCGACTTTGTGGCGGTGGCTGGCCCCCCTGGCGATGGTGACACGGGGCTCATCAGGGACATCTGGAAAGGCTCGTCGGGTTTGTCAACCAAGAGCATGAGCTCAGTCCAGGGGTTGTAGGTGGTTATGAGGTCTACAGTACCAGCCGTCTTGAAAGATGTATGGTGATCTCTCCCGGGACGGTGACCGGCGGCAAGAATGCCTATACGGTGCTCTCATAAAGAACAGTGTTCTACCGAAGAGGCTTTGATACAACCCTACTACACTCCCAAGAGAGCAGCTTCCTGAACAACAGCCCGTCTGGGAGGCAGCTTGATATCTAGCGTTGGCCTCCGGTGCTGTTCACTAGTCTCCAGAAGGAAGAGCTTCTTGTGAGAGTCTTCAAAACAATACCCTCCACGACATGTTCCGTTTTGAGATGAGCCTCCAACAACACTGCTGGCTCGGACTTGAATATCATGGAAGCACCTCGAAGACTAGAATGTGCGGCACGGTATATTATCGACTATACATCAGGGTCGCCCGCCGCTCCCAGTTATATCCGCTATCGATAGAGCTACACCATCGCAACCTCAATCATCAAAGCCCTCAAAGGTATCCTCCGCCTTCCTCTTGCCGCCCGCCGCCCCGGCAGTATCCCGCCGGACCTGCTCCCTGACCTTGGCAAGCATCTCCTCCAGGGCCCTCTGCTCCTCCTTCTCCTTGTCCGTGAGCCCGGCGAGGCGCGCGGCCTCCCTCTTCTTCTCCTTCCTCTCGCGGCGGCGCGCCCTCGTCTCCTCCTTCTCGACCTTGCCGCTCCAGGGGGCGTTCTTGGCGCGCTGCGCGACGCGCCTCTCCGCGGCGGCGGCGGCCTCCCCGCTCTCGACGGCCCGCTCGCGCTCCGCCAGCGCGGCGAGCCGCTTCCTCTCCTTGGCGGGGTCCTTGTACGCGATGGCCGAGACGTCGATGCCCAGCCCGAGGCCGCGGTCCAGCCCCTCGACCCCGCGCAGCTCCGCCATGCGCGGGAGCGCGACCAGGCCGTACTGCGCCGCCAGGTCGGCCCAGTCCAGGTCCGCGACGCGGAAGATGGACGCGGCGCGGTGCTCGGCGTAGCTGCGCACGAAGGAGGGGAACGCGCGGTACGAGAGGTCGAGGACCTCGCGGTCCGCCAGGGCCATGGCGCGGATGCGCGACGCGGCGGCCGCGGCGTCGGCGTCCGTCACGGTGATCTCCGGGTGCGTCAGGGGCTGCGCGGGCGTCTTGCGGATCTCCAGGAACGGGATGAAGTCCTCCTCCCTGCCCGGCTGGAGCATGACGACCGCGAGCCCCCGCCGGCCGGCGCGCCCCGCGCGCCCCGCGCGGTGGATGTAGGTCTTGGGGTCCTGGGGCGGGTCCTGGACCACCAGGTCGACCTGGGGGATGTCGAGGCCGCGGGCGGCGACGTCTGTGCAGAGGAGGACGGTGGGTGATGATGAGGTGAGGAACTGGTTGAAGTTCTTCTCGCGGGTCGAGGGGTCGAGCTTCCCGTGGAGGCGGAGGAGCTTGAAGCCTGGGGGCATTATGGCTGGTAGGACCTTGAAGAAGTACTTGACCGAGTCGCATGTGTTCAGGAAGAGGATGGTCTTCTGGGGCCGAGGGTCGAGCTTCTCCAGCAGTTGTCCGAGGGCGAGGAATTTGTGGGATGCTTTGGTGACGAGGTAGGTCATCTGTAAGGAGGCAGGGGTTTTCCTCTCTTCTATTATGCCGCCGTCCCTCAGGTTCTTGACCGTGACGACAATCCTCTGGGGGTTCCGTAGCCCAGTCCTGATCAACTCCGAGACAGCCTCGCTCATTGATGCGCTGAACAGCCCTGTTCGTCTTTGTTTAGGAAGGTATCCCAGTATAGTATTCAGTTGCTCTTTGAACCCCAGATCCAACAGCCGATCCGCCTCGTCTAATACCAAGACCTCCAGGTTTGACGTCTTGACGAGGGGAGACGACAGCAGCTCGGCGAGACGGCCGGGTGTCGCGATGAGGAGATTGGGTGATTTTCGAACAAAGTAGGAGAGATCGGCGCGAGGCTTGGTGGTACCGGCGACGAGCAATTGCGGGACTACCAAAGGCTCGCTGGCGGCTGATCTCTTGGAGTCCTCGTCATCTTTGAGAATAGGCAGGAGGTCGGCGGAGGGCTTGTGGAAGGGCAGGATCTGGTTGGTGAGAACGTCGTATATCTGGGAGGCCAGCTCCCTGGTCGGGCTGACGATGACCCCCGTGACATTGTGCAGTTTGCGGGACTCGTCTGAGCGGAGGATCTTGTCGATGACGGGGATGAGGAAGGCGAGGGTCTTGCCGCTGCCGGTGACAGCCTCGACGACGACGTCGGTGTTCCTCCTGAAGAGCGGGATGGTAGCGGCCTGGACGGGGGTCATGCGGGCGCCCCAGCCGTTGCTCTTGATGGCATCGAGAATCCATTCAGCGAGGGGTGGAGTCAGGCCCTCCCACGCGCGGGCGTCCTTCTTGTCCTTGGCTGCGGCCTTTGGGGCCATCTTGAAGACTGGCGCGCGGTTGGTATCAGTCAGTAACTGGGAGTCGGCTGCCAGTCATTGGAAAGATTACGGGACTTGTCAAGTCTCTGGTCGATCGACTTCGCAAAACCTGTCACTGAGGAATGCTGAATGGTCGCAGTTCGGGACTGGTCGCAGAAACTCGACCTGATGTCTCTCCAATCCCCAAAAAATAATTAAGGTTATCGCTATCTTATCTTATCGCATTCATGAAGACCCTAACCCGGATGACAGTCTGGACCCTGAGATGGGGAATCGGGGATCGATAGCCTAGATCGTCGAGATGCGAGGAATCGAGTGCAAGCAGGTTTCCAAGGTTGGTATCTGGCTGGTGTGCACTCTACTTGAACTGACGTTGATCTCATTCTGGACCTGTTGGGTCTAAGTAAAGCTGGACACCCTCCAGTGCTGACCAAGCCGGCGGCCGATTCAAACAAGTGTTTTGTTTCATCAAACCCCAAGGCTTGGACAGTCGATGCAGATTTGCACTCCTTGATGTGCTGAAGACTTCAGCTTGGCCGCCCAAGAATAGGTTCCCGACTTCCTAGAGACACCACGAATGCCTCGTGTTGAAGAGCCAAAAAATGAAAATAAAAATAGACAGAGCTACAACATCAGACAGGCCAGTAGATGCAACGGTCGAAAAAGGCAGCGCGGTGGTTGAAAGAAGCAATGGTCCGTCACATGCCTGCAATTCGTCCAATCTCGCCGACTGGGCTCGGCAGAACCCTGTTTTTTTTCTCTTCAGGTGCAGTGCAGAGGTGGGTGGTCGCGTGCACAGGCCAGGCGCCCAAAGACCTTGGCTGATGAGGGAGGGAAGGCAGGCACGGACGGAACGGAGCGTCATTCTTTTCCCATGTCCGTCCTCCAAATCCTGACCAAATCCTGATCGTCGACGTCCAACCAACAACACCTGCTCGACTGCTCGACTGCTCGACTGGCTTGTTGGTGGTCTGCCGGCTCGGGCTCCAGTTATTTTGTGGACTGGCCCATTCCCGTCTCGTCTGACACACACAAAACACATACGACATACGACACACGACACACTATCCGTACACACTTATCGGGCCCTCGAGCGAGGCCGCCGTCTCCGGCACAACCGACTGACCGACTGGCCGACTGGCCGGCTTACTACAATCCCATTTTTCGTTTTTCCATGCCCGCCGCCGGCTCTCGTCCTATATCAGGAGCCCACTCCTCCCTCCACCGCCCCCTTGCCCTGCCCAGCAACCATGCGGCCGAGTCACGACGCTCAGCCGCATAAATCAATCATCTCACCCTGGATCCTCTGCAAGGCGTAGCGGCCCTGCTCCACCGCCACCACCACACCGCGCCATCCGACCCCGCCGCCGACCCCGACCCCGACGCCGTCTCCTCCTCCTCCGCCGAAGCCTCCCGTGAGCCCACCACCAGGCGCGGAAGACGTCCTCCTCCTGCCCTCTTCCCTCTGTTCTGGCCCTTCGACAGCCTGCACATCCTGCGGCCTCTCCTCTCCGGCACCGTCGCCCTCGCCCTGCCCGCCCTGCCCCCCTTCCCCTCCGACATCATGTCCTTCCGCACCAAGCCCGTCATCCCCGCCACCCCGCGCGTCATTTCCCCGAGCCCCACGCCATCCGACCGCGAGTCCTCACAAGATGCCTACTTCGGCCCCACAACCAGGTCCGCAGCCAGGAGGAGGAGGCTGGCCACGCCCCAGCCCGTGCGCGAGAACCCCGAGGACGAGGTCGACGACGGCGGCGATAACGACCCACGAGATGGCCTGCGGAGGTCACGCACGAGGAGCAGGAGCCCCCTTGCCACGGCAAGGCTGAACGGCATGACGGCCATCAACACCAAGGACAAGAAAAAGGCCTCAACAGCAGCAAACAACACCAAGAAGAAGCCCGAGGCCCCCGAGGCCCCGCCGTCAAACGGCACCGCCAACGGCAAGGCCGGCGACCACCTGTCCCCCACCTCCGCCCAGACGCCCTCGGGCGGCGGCTGGAGCTGGCGCGACTTCAGCCGCAGCCCGAGCCCCCTGGGCCTGATCCCCATCCACCGGCACTGGCGCACCTTCGTGCACAAGCACGAGGTCCCGCGCAAGCTGCTGCACCTGTCCATCGGCTTCCTGGTGCTGTGGCTCTACGCCTCGGGCACCCAGACCACCTCCGTCACGCCCTGGCTCGCCGGCTTCCTCGTCCCCATCGCCACCACCGACTACGTGCGCCACGTCAACCCGGCCTTCAACCGCTTCTACACCCGCGTCCTGGGCGCCTTCATGCGCGAGAGCGAGGTCGACGGCTGGAACGGCGTCGTCTTCTACCTGCTCGGCGCCCTGCTCGCCCTCGGCGGCCTCCCCAAGGACGTCGGCGTCATGGCCGTCCTGCTGCTCAGCTGGTGCGACACCGCCGCCAGCACCTTTGGCCGCCTCTACGGCCGCTACACCCCGCGCATCCGCCGCGGCAAGTCCCTCGCCGGCTCCGCCGCCGCCTTCCTCGTCGGCGTCGTCACCGCCTGGGGCTTCTGGGGCTGGCTCGTCCCCACCATCGGGCCCATGCCCGGTGACGAGGGCTTCATGTTCAAGGGGTCCCTGTCCCTGCCCGCCGCCGTCGCGGATGCCGTCGGCCTGGGCGCCGAGGGGCAGGCCACCGTGTCCGGCGGCGTGGCCCTGGGCCTCATGAGCCTGTGGTCCGGCTTCGCCGCCGCCGCGAGCGAGGTCGTCGACGTGTTCGGGTGGGACGACAACCTGACCATCCCCGTCCTGAGCGGGATCGGCATCTGGGGGTTCCTGAAGATCTTTGGGTAGGCCCCAGGGCACGGTTGGACCCTCAGCAGCAATATCCAGAAGCAGTTGTTGAAGAAGGGGGATGTTTTCTGGGTTATACTTTCTATTTACAACAAGACGCTGTTTTATGCGTATTACCCACACACCAACACGTGGCAAAAGCCATCTGCTCTCCTCTGATGGGTTAATGCCGGGTACGGTGTTTGGGCGTCCGCGGGGGCTTATGGTGCTTTTAACCCCCCTACCACACTTACTTGTTCCCAAGCATACAAGCAGCGCATGAAAATTTAGATGGAGGGTTATTTGGTGGCTGGCTGGCATGGCATGGCGGTGAAAGAGTTGGGCCCACACGGAGAGGAGAGGAAATTCCTTCTTTGGGTCCTCATGATACACACACATATAGAACACTCCAATATCGACCATCAATCTCAACACCTCGTCTGAAATGTATGTTCAAGAGCTTGTCCACTTAATCTGCGTGACAACGCCCAGTTACCAGAGAAGCCGGGACGAAAACACATACAGGCCAGAAAGCGAACGATCCCAGGCCGAGCACCTCGGGAACTTGAAGAATTGATTTGTGAAGTGGTTTGTCTCGATTCCCTGGTGACTTGCCGCCGCAGCAACACAAGACATGCCTCTCCCACCCATGAATCACATCTGGATCATGGCTCAGACTTTGACCGGCCGGCGCCGCCGCCGCAGGCGCCAGGGTTCAGCCCCCTTTGTTCGGCCGTGGCGTCCGACTGACTGACTGACTGACTGTGTTTGAAGCAAGGTTGGAAGGAAAGATGAGAATTCAGGACTTGATCCTTTGCGCCTGGACTGGACTGCCGGGTTGGGAATGTGGATGGCATTAACCCAGCTGCGGCGGTTCGGAAGGCATGCCATGTCACTCCTGCTTCGGCCGTCGTCACTTCCACGGTGGCGGCGACGCGATACACGGGACAACGAAATCTGGAGCACAAGTTCAAGTACCCTTCCCGTATGTATGTATGCCTGCCAATGGCCGGGCTGAGGTGAGGCAGGCCTTGCTGTTTTCAAGCAAGGGGCACGCCTGGGTGAGCAGTGCTGCGAAATCGGGCACAAGAGCCATCGCGGTCTAGTCACGGCTCGTCAATCAATGTGCTCCCATCCCACTGGGACATTTGCGATCCAGCGAAGCGCACTTTGCACAGTTCAAAGCACTTGGTTCGAAGGGGCATCAAATAAACAAGAACAGCGACCGCAACCACATCTCTTTGGCCACCTTCCCCTTACCGCACTTCGTACCGACTGTTTGCTCGTCCAGAAAGAACCCTTTTAGTTTACCGCCTGGGTTTTCGAAGAAAGCAGAAGAGGAAGGTCCGAGCAAGAGTTGATCATTCGAAAGTGAGAGGATGGCGTTTTGTGTAGAGAGACTTATGAGCCGTAAGCCCCGACAGCTCCACGAAGAACCAAACATATATTGTCACTCCACGCCTCACCATGATAGAATCATTCAACATGGCCTTGGATCACGCTGCGCCCCTTCACCTCTCCGTGCCTAGCAGCACGACGCTAGTTCTGTCTTCCTCTCTACGCCTTACCCGAGATCTTTTTTTTACATATCGATCATAGAGAAGACTACCTCACCCTAAGTGGTCCTGACCGGTGTGCTTACACTTACCGCAAGCCATTCCGGTTATCTCGAGTCGGCCCTATTCATCTAACCAGCGAGTGCTCCATACCCACGTACCAGATCATAATCTACCTAGGTAGGTCTTGCTGTCACAGGTCCGTTCTTGGCGCGCCCACAACAGGACAGTATCCCCGAGCTGCTTCGGGTGTCAGACGGAGTGTGAGAGTGGCTGAATATATTTCCCCACGTGGCGCTCAACCACACATGATGCAGTCAGAAACCCCAGTCAGACAACAAAGTGCTCACTTGAGGCACCGGCGGAGCGAGTGTACCTCCTGCTGTAGCAAACAGGAACCAAGCAGATTCATTATGCCAGTGGAGGGGTGCCATACAATGAGCCCGAAGAGAACCCCAAGGATTGTGGCCACTTCCACAGACGAGACCCGGAGAGATTTGATGATGGGAAAGCCTCTGAGGCTAGAGTCTCCACAATCTCTGAACAGCCTCATATGTCGTCGATGGGGATGACACCTCACAAAATCGACGACCCGCCCAGCCGCAAGCCGCTAACGGCAACCTGTTTGAGCATCTGTACCGGGGAGAGAGTACATTCACGACAACCTCCACGAACTTGCCCCCGCCTCTGGGTGTGCTGCTGCGGTTGGTTCAGCTCTCGCCGAGGACACCATGACTCTGCACTGTAAAAGCCAGTCTGTGAAATACAACTGGCCAGCACCATGCCCTTCCGTCTACGAGGCTGAAGCAATGGAAATAGCTCACCATGTATGTTCCAGAGAAAAGGCAGATTAGTGTGCCGGCCACCGTCACTCGACCTGCAGTATGCCCATTGATATACGATGTCGCTAGGCAGGCCAGCCTCGTGTGACTAGCAGAGGAGGATGTGGGCCGTGGCGGGTAAGATATGTGTCCCCAGCTGGAATGCTGACAGCGTCGGGGGCGGAGGGTATAGGACCTGACCCCCGATTTGGCCATCTTAACCTCTAGCAAGGAGAGGAGGTTGGAGTGGGGGATGTAGAGTTTAGAGGCGATTTCAGAAAGATGATAAGCTGAAAGGACTCATCGGTCTCGTGTAACCGCCCGAACTCATCGCGACTCACACCAGACAACTTCCCATCTCACGTCACAATATCCAAAGAGCAAAGACCACAGACCACAGGGCTTTGTTCCCAAGGATCCAGAGATAAGCCCCATCCCCTGAACCTTCTCGCCACACGCACACAAACATACACCGGTCCGCACCGCGCAATGCGTACCACAGCATAGATACGCCCAAGGGGAGGCCCGCAAGAGTGCGCGAGAGACAGAATCGTTTCGGGTGCGGAGAGCGGAGGTCATGGAGTGGGTGTTTCTGTGAGAGGATAGCACCGCATCGGTGAACCAACCCCCTTCTTTCCCACCGTCCCTCCCCCTAGATCCATCATCCCGTGGCGCGGTGGTGCGGCCGACCGGAATATGCCGACGTTTCTTGTCTGGTCGGGGGCCGTCGAGCTGGTTGGCTAAATGGCCAGTTGCCCGGGTTGGGTGGGTTACTCTGGGCCGATTTAGGTCTTGTACAAGATTGATTGTGTGAGGGCGTTTGTGGCTCGGTGTAAGAGGGGCAGAATTTGCAAGGGCCTCTGATGCCGGCGATCAGCTAGGCCATAGGCTGGTGATACTGCTCCGCGGGTGATGTCCATAGTGAAGCTGAGTGTGAACGTGTGTCACCATGCCCTCATCCCCGTCCCCCAGGAAGACAATGCAGCGGGCTCCCCGCTTCGAACATGGTGACGGCAGGTTGGCGAGAAAAATCGGCACGAGAGAGATTAGTCGTCTAGGATGCATGCACGATGAAGAGGGATGAAGAGGAGGTGGGAAGATGTGGCCCACTGTGCTTGGTCGCAAGCATGCCAGTGTCTCTCCACCTTAAGTCTGTTGGGTGGTCTTTCTGCCATACCCAACACGCCGGAAGGCGGGAGAGGATTGGAAGGCGGGCTGCAATAGCTGTCGGTACCCGGGGACACGGCTTCAGGGTGGGCACATACGATGAGACCGAGCCTGATCGCGGGGATGCACGACCGTTGGCTTCGATTTGTTGCGCTAAGGTCGTCCGTCTCCGTTGTTTCTCTTGGTGCTTGCAGCCATGGTAGAATGCCCCAATGCAGAACCACAACATTGAAGAGCTGCCGCTTGGCCCCTGACTTCAGGATCGCTGGCTCCGTGGTTCCGCTCTCACCACGATCCTGGTGTTTTAATATGAACACTCCCATCTCACAGGCCCCGTATGAGAGGCGGTGTGGCAGGAAGACGTAGGCCCGGCCAGCTGTCTGTGCGATGTGCTGCTTTTTTTCTCTCTTGCATTCTTTTCTCCTCTCGTCTCCGCTCCCCTGGATGAGCCACGAGGTTTGGCCGGCCAGCCGACCGGCTCATTGGGCGAATCGACGGCCGGGCCGTTGATCGAGAAGAGTTAGGTCGCAGGTACCTACCTGCCAACCTGCCCGCGTTGACACACTATAAATTGCCCCATCGATCGGGCGATTTTAGTTGCTGTGACAAGATGAAGGTGGCACGGAAGCTGGGGCTAGAGTGTCTTCGCTAGGTTACATGGTTGAAATGTGGGAAAAGGGCGCGAGAACGAAAAGATAAAATGATTAAAAGCTTAGGAAGACAAGGGCACCGTGATATACGCTTCCCTGGCCAGATGCAAGGGGCAGGCGTTCCCCATCTGTTTTCGCACCGGGCCCAAAGCGGGCAGGTGGCAGCCTCGGGGCGTGTGCGTGTAAGCGGTCGAATTCAATCATCCATGAGATTCTGGCTGATGCTGCAGCCGACTGGCCGAGCATGCAACCTGTCATGTCGGACGCATCTTGTTCATCTGTGGGACAATGTAGGACCGTTGTATGGGAGTGGGCGGCAGGGGTAGAGCAGAGGTAGAGGCGTCCTATCACGGTTGCTGTGTGCTTTCGACATCTGGCGCCCGCGGTCCCATAATCTATTCGCGGTCTCGCCCACGTTGTGCGGCGCCGCCTCTCCCCGGGTTACTCCAACGGAAAGTCTTGAAACAGCTCGCACAATATGGGAACACGAGAAGGCAGAGGACGGTGACCTTCCTGCTCGGCGGTGATGCCATAATGACAAGAGCACGTGTGTGGAAACTGACGAGGCCCAGGGAAGGAAGGATGGCCGGCCGCACACGGACGGACCGACAAGAGATCACATCCCCGTTTGAATGTCTGGGTCGGTGGGGAGGGTGGGATTGGGATCGCGCTGGGAGGAGCCCAAACAACCACCGCCCACCCGGGACTTTATCTCCTCGGCGGGCTAGGTAAGGCTCCAAGGACCCTGTCCTGGGTCAGCCACAGGTGGGCATAAGCTGGATTGGTTGGTTTTGGAAACGTCGGCCCAGTTCTGTCTCTTGCGCAGA